CTACTTCTACTACCGAGCTGGGCGCAACGGGTCTTCGTGGCAGCAAGGACGATGTGTCCGATAGTAAAGAACAGACCCCTCGCAAGTCAAGATCTAGATCCTCCTCGCCTGGCAGAGGGTTCGCGCGGCAAACCGCGTCTCCGGTCCGTTCATTGCCACCAGCCATTTCCGTGACTCCTGATACCCCCGATTCGACCGTATCAGGACACGGCGGTACCTCTACGGACGCTAAACCGCAGCGTGCCGTCATTTCCTATTCTTCGGACGCGAAACAGAGTGTCCCTAAAGACAGTCATCAACCACAGCGCGCCGTTATTTCCCACTCTTCTGACACAGGACAATCCCTTACGGAAAAGCAAAGGGGGTCCTCTCAATCGCCGGTATCCTCCTTTCCCTTAAGCTCGACTCACTTCATCGCCTTTCCAGCTTCCGAAATTCCAGCTCAGTTCTTTTCTCTGAGTGAAACGCCAACGAGTCAACGCTCTGATACAGAACCTGGTGTTATAGACACTACGCGGCAGCTTCTCCGAGCACTCCGATTAGTCGGTTTGAAAGCCATGAGGTATTTCATAGGGTATTTAACGTCTGCGTTATGTATGGACGACACGAGAGAGAAGATCAGAGAAGTGGAATTAGCAATATGCGCCTTGTTACTTCTGATCGCAGGCTTGTTGATATATTATTTCAGTAGCACACGGACTGTGACACATCATCATCATTGGGATTACTTTAATCCCCCTCAATAGCACTTCTACAATCCGATTTGTCAACATCGTGTATACAAATTGGTAAATAGTTCATTGGTTCGTAGAAATTAAAATTTTATATTTTTAATTGTATAAATTTTTATATAAGAATTTTATCTCGAAGAAAATATACAGACTAGGACACGACAAAGTAAGGAATTTGAATGGAATTATAGTTCTTGTACACGTAGAATAAAACGAAGTGCCAGGTTTGTAAGAAACAAATTGTAATTATATTGCTAATATATGCCAAATATACAATTATAAACTTTAATATTTATAAAGAACACTATTTACAACAATTCTTCATAATTTTATGCGCTATATACATATATATACATACATACATCAGTTAACTTATTTAACTTACATGTATATTTAAGAAAAAATATTATTTAATCGAACCTTTGCTTTCCTGATTTGTTGCCGGGAAACAATTTCTATTTTTAATTTCTCCTAAAAGTAAATACAATTGATTTTCTTTTGCGTAGAGCATAATATCCACTCGAAGTTTTAGTAGATATTTTCGATACAATCATTAATAATTAATTCTGTTCTTTTTTTCTTACAACAGTGGCTCTATAATTTTTGAAAAAACTGAAACGGGGCTGAGAGCAATAAATGAAATGGATGGTATGATATATTCCATCCAATTGAAAGAAAAAAGACAGTCTAATAGAGTCAGTGATGTCTAGTCCGATATGATATCATTAATTACCATTTGATAAAGTATCATAAGCAAAAATATTCTCCATAATCCCACTAATCAAACTCAACCAATGGGAGGACATAAAAAAAGAATAAATTAAAGACTAAGATTCAACTAATTAACAAGGTTCGACTGTATAATATTTTTTCTTATACATAGATAAATATTTCTATACCATTATGAATTTTGTTATAATTATAATAATAAATCAGTTATTAGATAGAGAATATACAAATGTTTGATATTCAAATCTGTTGACAAATATAATACGTCATAATGAGATGAAAGAACACAATATTGAAAATAAATTAACACACAGACGTTTTCAATTGAGTCGATATAACAAAGTATCATAATATGGTGCCCCTACCAAGATGACAACCCGGCACCACACTAATTAGCCGGGCAAAAACGCTTACTCGCGAGTGCCTGGCCGCATCGACTAAAATATATAAACAAATTCGGCGACAAGCCTTATTGCCCTCACCGATGATCTCATCGGACGATCGGATGATCGACGCCACCACTAATTGTAAGATCACTGGGCATATACTTGTGAGTCTATCGCGACTCGCAGAAAGTAGCACATGGTATTTTGGGAATCTCATACTCCTCTCCTACAATCATCATCACACCACATAACGACTCGACCCCAAAATGTCATGATATATATGGATATTATATTACAATATCGTACATTTCGGAAATTGTGGTCAACGAAAATACCTGCATTTACTGGAAGAGATCCTCTTCATATACTTTAAGTTCCCGCCTGTCTTTATGTGCACTTTTCTGCGAATAGTTAGCTGCTATTGGCGACCACATAGAGCTAGACATAGTATCGCTAACTTGCTCTATTATCGGCTGCCTCCTTGCTAACGATACTTTCAACTGGATGGAGGAAACCATACTGCCATCCATTTCGCTTATGGCTCTTTCAGCTGCATCAGCTTTCTCGAAGGTTATAAAGCCATGGCTGTAAGAAAGAAAGAACGGAATTAAATTATTAACAATCACATCGAAAATATCTATTAAAACTCTGTGTGAACATGAGCATAGGTAAAACGATTTGTATATACTTACTTCTTCTCTACTTCCATAGAAATATTGACGATATTTCCGAAGCTTTGGAAGTGCTTCTTTAGATAATCCTCCGTTATCTTATAGCCACTTACAAATATTGTATTTCCCGCACGTGGCTTAACTTCCTGCTTGGCCGAGGGAGATTGAGTATCGTTGGTATTTCTCTCCCCAGTGTCCTGAGCGCCGACAAAGCTATTATATAAATCCTTCACTTTTGGCCTCGCTGCCTCCGTTTCTTCCTCCTCCTGCGTCGCTGAGAACGGTTGGTAAGAACTAATCGTCTTTTCTGTACTGTTCAACTTCCTTTCTAGCCCGCGAGATCTCTTGAACGTTTGCTCCGGTCGCTTTGGAGTCTTTGGAGCTGTGATTACGCCAGACTTGATTAATTTTTTGGCCACTTCGCGGGCGTCTCTCGCTTCCGTAGGCCGCTTTGGCGCCTGTGGAATGCGTTCTGCTTCTTGTTTAGGAGCCTTTAGATCTTGCAGCGCTTTTTTCTGCAGAGCAAAGGATGATTAACAACATAAAGGTAAGGTAATTGTTCCTGTATATGGCTAAA